TTAATTCGAACCATAGAGCCCATAATGACAGCCGTCGTCCTGCCATTAATTTTCCTCATTTCGACTTTCCCCGGGATATCGCGCGGGGAATCCATCGTCGTCGTCGTCGGGGTTTTGTCGTATACAAGCGGATCCGCGAAAGCTGCTCGCGAAATTCAGAGGGAGAGAAATTCTTCCTCCGGAATCCGCCTTTGGAGAGGGATGTTTGAGCGGTAATTGAGACGATGTCCGGTGAGGGTTTGTTTTCAGAAAGAACCTACCGTGTTACTTCCATTCTCTCCCGCTCCCGTCGACGTGTTCCGGTCATAGCCTCCGCTCTTCCCTTTTTTTTCTTCCTTTTGCCGTCCTTTTGCGTCGGTCGTTCGATCGATGTCGTGCCCAAGGGATGATAAAAATAAAGAGCGCAAGACGCAAGGAGATGGAGAGAAAAGGAGCGAGGGAAGGAGCGTAAAACCACGCATTGCCTTCGCTAACCAGCCGGATTTTTTTGCGACACCCATGTTCGCGTGCGGTTATTGCTTTTTAGCGCATGAAACGTTTTATTGTCCATTATACTCGGGAGCACGTAGATAAATAAATAGATAGATCGAGGGATGGCAGAAGAGGGAGAAGAAGGGGCCGCGATGCCCACGGACATTTCCGTCTCGAACGAGGGAAATAAAAGCGACGAAGAGATCGTGACCGGCGAGGCTCTCGTATGTGGCTCGAGCTTCTATAGCTCGTCACCGATTGAATCTCCCCTTTATCATCGATTATCACAATATCCTTCGGGTCAACGCCGTCTGCAATTACCGTCTTTCTAACTTATCTCCTCATTGAACTTGATCGTGTTGAAAACGCAGGACGACTTAACACGATTCTCTAAAAATGACAAATCGATGTAACTGAAGAGAATCTTTTTCAATTTTGAGTCTTACACGAGAAAATGATTCAGATATATCGCTATTTGAAATGATATCGATTTAAACTTGGAGAAAGATTTATTTTTGCGCGAAGAGGGAGAGAAAGAAATTTGTGAAGGATTGTAAAAATATTTTTATCGCAAGGCTATAGATTCATTTATTATTAGCATTATACAAATTATTTTAGGATATACCAAACAGCTGTAAAAAATACATTTTGTAATGGGTAACTGGTTTCATTCACTTCTGAAGTAACGTGTTGAGAAGTTAAATTACTTTTTCACAGTTAAGTATAAAAGAAAATAATCATTTAAAAATCTGCTCCGGAGATAAAAAGCCGTTCCCGGCATCATCGCGATCTGTAACTCGTGCACCGAATCGTTCTCCACAACTCGGCGTGATCTCGTTTAACCTAATCAATCGACCGTTGAGAACTCCCCTTAGCGTCTTCGCGGCGTTAATTATACTCCGCAAATAGTCAAAGGGTGGTCCCGAAGGAAGCGGATATCAGCGCGGTTTACTCGAACGGTGGGTTGGGAGGGCAAATTAAGTTCATCCGACGAAAACGCATCGTCCGTGAATCGGTCTACGGTTTACGCGCGTTTAATTCAGAGAACGCGGAGAGAGAAAGACCGATGGCCTTCGCGAGCGTCTTCGACGTTCACTCTTAGCATTGTAACAATTCAACGCTCAAGGGGGAGTTACGCACGCGCGGAGGCTGATTCGAACGAGTGAACTCGTAGGGTGAGCCTGAGATGCGCGAATAGTAAGAATTAAAAAAAGAAAGAAAGAAATCAACCTCGCAAAAGAGATAATAGATAAAGCTTGACGAAAACTAGAAGCGCTCGCGACTTTTATCTCAAGATTTCTCGTTCCTTCCTGTTTTTCACACCGCGAAAATATTAACGACTGCAGGAGCCAACATTTTCGCAGAGCTCTGGGCGCGACCCAAATGTACAAGTTGCGAGAAAGAGAGAGACTCACCTGAGACGATTGTCGAGAGAAACGCTACACTCGCGATGGCAATCGCCACGCAGAGGAGCCTCATATTATATATATATCCCTCTTCTCCTCCGCTCGTCCGCTTCTACCCTCTTCCTCCTCGCGACCTGCGCCTCCGTGCTGGCACCAAGGGGACAGCCTACGATCGCGGACGCATCGTCGGGAGTCGACTCGACCTCGCGGCGAACACCGACCGCGGCACGGAGAAGGCACGGAGGACGCGAGTATATACTCGCGCCGGCGAACGGAACCTCGCGACTGTCTTGCGGTTGGGTGTGCGACCAGCCGTTCGGGACGTGAAAGACTGAGGAAAGGCTCGTGGTGGCCAAGTGGTATTAGCCTCGCGCAGCGGCCCACTTGTGTGGTGCACGGGGCCTCTCCCAGCCGTTCCAATCTCTCCGCAAGAGACGAGAGAGGAGCCCGGTCTCTCTTGCCCTCCGCGGTGGAATCCTCCTCGAGGCGAGAGACCGGCGCGAGTCGACCTTCTGCCTTCACGCGAATGTGCAGAGAGCCTGCCAATATTTCAATAAATAAATATCGACCTCCCCCCTCCCCAAATTAAGCACAGAATAAATAAATTAAAATCTTTTTGATCGTCGGACAGAGTTTTGTGCTCAATTATAATTTTTGTGAATTTCATACATTTACAAGATTCTGTCTGGTGAACGAAAATTAATTAATTCAATATTTACTTATTCTCTGTAATTGATATATTAATAATAGAATCGACATTCGGGAAATCTACAGGGACATTGCGCTGCTCGTAAAAGAAAATCAGTTCCAAATCGGCGAAGAAATAATCATACAAATGCGATAATCATACATCAGGCGTTGTAAAAGTCACTGATTAGCAGCAGCAGCGAATTTTCGCGATGGCGAGAGAAGAATCTCCCGAGGACGAGCCACAAAATGGCACGGTAGTGCATAATGTTGTACACGTTGTTGATCCCGCCGATTTACTTCGCGATAAGTAGACCTGAGAGTTTACTGAAGCAACAACACGACGAATTTTTCTCGTAAACTTGGATCGAAACTCGCGACGGAAGCCCGCGAGAGCGCCGGGCTCCTCTTTCGCTCGCGCAATAATAATATTATTCCATATCGAGCCATTTGCGCAAATGGACATATGCATACATTTCGCCGACCCCTTCTCACATCACGCGCGCTTGCGAACTCCATTTCTCACTCCCGCATTTCTCAATCGAAGATCTGCCTCGTTACTTTACATATTTGATAACGAAAACCTGTTGCGTTCTTCTTTTTTTTAAATTTACTAGACACTACAGACGCGCGCTACGCGCGCGCTATTTATCTTTAACATTTCACTATTAACCCTATTATACACAACTGTCAAAATATACAATGACAGCTGCAAATGAAGTAAGCGCAGCAAGGAAACCAATCGGCATCGCGGAAAAGCGGCAACAATAAACTTCACATCTCCTTTTTAGAAAAGGATTTAGTTTGATTTATTAGTTATTTATTTCGTCGCTTTATCTCGACGTTCATCTCTTGCTTCATTTTCTCTTATAAAATTTCCTGAATGGGATACGTAACGCAATTTTCGTAAATTTCATTCACACATTTATTTCAGATCGCGATATAATGAGAATAAGCATTAACGAATCGTACATGTGATATTCTTTCAGAAAATAAAATCAGCGATCACGTCCAACACGTACAAGGTGGAAAACAGCGAAATCATCGAGACGTCAGTCGCTCAACATTTCGCGTATCTGCACGGCGTTCTTCAAAACATGGAAGCAAAATTGATGAACCAACTACATGAGCAAAGTGATAGCCTAAAGAATAATTTAGAGGACATCGAAAGGCAGCTTGGAATCCAGGAGGAAAAACTGAAGATGACGCTGCAGGTATGTTTCTCAAAAATAAATTTTTATAGACACCAGAAATATTCGTCTGGCACTGCCTTCAAATCAAACGTCGTTTACTTCAATATTCAATGACGATTCTGTAAGCTTCAGATTATACAGTTTACTTTTTTCGATTATTCGTAACTAATTTTAACTTCCTAGATTTCATTAAGAGTGTAGTAGATAAAAGAATGTAATGAATGCATATAATTATAATCAATAACGTAGTGGATAAACATTCTATTATCCACTACTGAAGAGTAGTGGATAAAAGAATGTAATGAATTATGAATGAATATAATTAAGAATAATTAGATAATTAATGAAGTAGAAGATCGGACGGAAGTAACATAATATTCAATTAAATTCAAATCGACATCTTTTTTTAACAGCGACTTAAGTTGAACTTGATAACATTTGTCTGTAGATAGCATCCTATGCGAAACAAACCTTCCACAAGATGGACATACGAAACGCGATAAACATCTTGAAGGAGATGGCAGATCTCCCTTGTCATTTGATGTATAAGGACGCGTGCCAGAACCAAACCGCAACGTAAGTAACAAAACGCGAATTAATTAAAGGAATTGCTTTGATAAGCAAGATAAACAAGACGTGCAAGATTTTTTTGCTGATTCGCGCTTGATCGTTTCTTCGCCGTTAATAATCGGAATGTTACCGAATGTCTTTTTGTCAATATCGAAGTTCCTAACCCAAGCAGATTATTTTTGCAAGACACGCTTTTCGTCGCGTACGATCGCACGAAGCGCGAGCGGCTATCCGAATATAATTCTCGCTAGTACAACACAAGGCATTTCTCTCAACAGGTTTACCGTCGATGACTCGATCGTCGCAGCTATTGAAGATCACTGCGCAATCACAGTGCCGTTAATGTCGTCCTACAGTCTCGTGCGAAAAGACGAGCTACCAAAGAATTACATAATGTCGCCTTTATCGAAGAAACTGCGCGCAAGTGAGAACATTGATCCTATCGCGAGAGCTTTTTCAAAAATGTGGCATCTTCACCTTCGGATGTTCTATAATTTTTTTTTTCTAATAAATCACAAGTCAATGTTTTCGTTAGATTCGACAGATTATATTTCCGCAAAATCTTTTTTTAAATTCATATCATTATGGCTTGTGATTTGTGCGAAATGAAAAAACGCAGTTAAATAATTTATGAAATGGTATCGACAGTGGTCTTTGACGAGCCGCCGTCAATGCTACCGGAAATGCAACCAAGTAAAGCACTACCACCAACGACGATCGACATCGACGACAAGACGGAAGATAACGAGCAAGAAGAAAGTAAGTTATTCTTTCTAATCTTCAATTCTTATTCTATAACCAGTTTTTTTTCTCTTTCAAGGCATTTCCGAGTACAAGGTGGAGGTGACGTACGTTGTTAATCCGTCGTTTTTCTTCGTCCGAAAACTGGCCACGAAACCGGAATTCCTGCAGTTGGAAAAAGACATAACGGCATACGGGAACAACAAGCAGAACCTAGTCGAGACACCGAGTAATATCAACCAAGGTACGATCGCTCGCGATGAGATTAGCGATCGTATTTTTATCCGTCGCGTTTGTTCTGTTTTACAGACGATATGTGTATCGTCAAACAATGGAAAGAGGTTAACAATGTCGACGATTGGTATCGAGGGCGGGTGAGCGCGGCGAGTACGACTGCCGACGGTGAACGGGTGTACAACGTGATTTACATAGACTACGGTTACGAAGAGTGCAACGTAGCGGCGTCGAGAGTGCGAGAGATCCCCGAGCATCTGCGAGAATTGCCACCGCAAGCGATTCGATGCAGCTTACATGGCTTGCTGCCCAAAAATCTTCACTGGACAAACGCGAGCACGAACGACTTTCTGAAGCTGACGAACGGAGCGTAAGCCATTTGCCAATCCTACGATTCTTACCCCGCGTGTATGTTCGAGGAAAGTGAGTGTCACCGTTAACCGTTTGGAAAAATGTTCTACGTTCTAGCGATTGCACGATGTCTGTTTTCAACCCCACCCGTGACGTTCTGTACGTCGATCTTCGCTTTATCTCGAAGAATAGTAACATGGGTCCGCAGTCGATGTGTAGCACTATGAAAATTATGGATTACGCGCGTTTGAACACTCGGCTAAGCCCGGTAAGTTCGAAACAGTTTTCGAAAATATACATACTCCTAATATAATATAATAATATATATCATAATATACTCCTCTGCACATACACGCACACATAAGTTGTCAATACCCAGATTTTTGGTCGATCTTTCTTTTAAAACTTTCTTAGAAGGAAAAAATAATTCAACCGTGATTATTTTTTTTTATTTATTTTGTCGCACGCAATGTTTGCATTCTTTTGCAGCAGCACGAGTTGAAACCTACCACGTACGTTTATACTAAAGAAGACCTTCCGTTAAGTAAAATGACAACGGTTAACATTGGCTGGATTGAGTCACCAGACAAAATTTACGTCTTGAAGGTAAAACAATTACTATCATATCATTACAATATTTATTTTACCATGATCTCGTTAGAGATAGAAAAGAAGTTTTGTGTTACTTTTTATTTTTGTGAATCTTTGCAGGCTCTGCGTCAAAATAAGTTCTTGAAAATAAGGAATGAAATGAATGAGTATTTCGAAAAAGAGACTTCACCGAACATAATTGAAACACCACAAAAAGGTTGGTTTTTATTTACAGATATTTTTGGATTGCCGAGATAATTATTTTGTAGCTGATCGACAATACTAATTACACAGCTGTGAATTTTATTAATATTATTGTTATTATGTTATTATATGTTATAATAATTAAAAAGATTAATTTAAATAAGATGTTCCACTAATTATTTTTAGTTATTCTGAAATTAAAAAGGGTTAGAAAAATTTGTCAAAAATTTAGAGTACTGAAAAGAAAATTTCATATTATTCTCTATAACTGTTATAATTGCAATATCTAATAGTCTTCAGATGCTTCTGTTAAAAAAAGTTTTTACTTGAGAATGTAAATTCGATATCAGGTTTACCGTGCGCTGTACAATTGGAAGACAATACCTGGCAACGCGGCGAGATCACTGAAATAATTAATGAAAATCAAGTCAGAGTGTTTTGCGTGGACTGGGGTTATACCTTGATTCAAAATCGCGACACGTTACGAGCGATTCCGCATGAATACACCATATTTAAGGCACAAGTAAGTCAATCCCTTTTCTATGCACAGAATCACACAGGCTTATCGTTTTCTCTCGTTCAGGCCATAAAGGTAGCGTTAATGTATATAATGCCTGAATCTGATGGAAGCTGGAAACCGGAAGCTCTCTCAAGTTTGCTGCATATTTTCAATAATGCAAACTGTATCACGATAACTCCTCGAAGAAAAGTAGACGACCGGTACATCGGATGTATGCACGCTGATAACATCGACATCAGCCGTCAGTTAAAACTCGAAGGCGTTGTTAACGAATTTTTTGTGAGGTGAGCGCTGGCGTCACTAAAATTTTTTACATAAAAAGATATAAAGACTTTACTTGAGATGCGATGTTCAATTTTTTATGATTATTGTTCTCTCTTTTCCAGGGAATGTAGCAAATTTAAGAACAAGCCTAGGAAATTACGATTGGCTTTTAAACCTTTTATTCCACTGGAGTCCGATAATAATTCGAAATCCGATAATACTATCAAAGACCTCTGCGTTTCGTGGAACGATACGCAGGTGAAGGATGATAAATCAGTAAAAGACGAGACGCCTAAAGATCCGTTCAAGGTGGAAGTGCGTGTTGAAAGGGCGACCACACCGGACTGCATCTACGTTGCCCAGACCGAATATGAAAAATCGAACGCCAAACTAATGGCGTCCATGCAGAACTTCTACAATACCTATTTCTCCGAACCGCGCGATAATTGGAGTAAAGGCGCATTGTGCGCGGTGTATTCCGCAAAGGACAAGTCCTACTTCCGCGCGAAAATATTGAAGATAAAATCTTCGACAGAAGTGCTAGTCTATTTCTACGACATGGGTATCGAGGAGACGGTGACGATGAAGGACATACAAGTTCTCCATTCGGATTTCACCAAGGAAATGACGTACTGCTTTAAGGTGAAGCTGGCCGGTATTTTGCCGTGCGGCGGATCATCCACGTGGCCGAAGTTATCCTGCGCAACGCTGTCCGAGATTATACGAGACAATTCGAATTGCAAATTTTACATCACTAAGCCGGTAAAAAACTTCTTGCCTTTTTTTTCTTTTAATCCATGAAGTTCGGGGATTTATAAAAGCCCACTTTAGACAATAATTCCATTTGTAATCTTATATGCCGTACTTTGACATATATATGCATTTTAATAGATATATATTTTTTATATAATATGTATATTTTCCGATTCTCTCTTCAAATGTTCTTTATTTTACATATAAGATTATAAATAAAATTCTGTCCTAAATTCTAACACAAGTTATAGATTTTCTAAAGTCTTTAAAAATTACTTGATGAAAGTTGTGTAAAAAAAAATAACATTAATTGCAATTGCCGAATGCAATAAATTTGATTGCGAATATAAAAATGTAACTTGCTCCTGTCACGTATGTTAAGGTTCAGGAAGAAATTTGCGATGACGTGGTCTCTGTCGAGCTTTGGGTAAGACAGTTGAAAATACCAGGACCTTTTGCGAAAGCTAAAGTAGAAATAAATTCTATCAACCGAATGTTGGTGGAGAAGGGTGTCGCCTTACCCATTAAAAAGTAAGAAGTTAAATCAATTTTATATTTAATTGACTAAACTAAACTAAAAGGAACTTAATTTGTATGCGATATTTGAATCACGATTTTTAATCTAATTCAACAGCTACTTTGCGACAGCAGACTCGACTCTCGCAGCAGAATTTAGGCAGCAGTTGGAGAGCAGTTGTTGGTTTGTGCAGTCCGAAGAAGAGGTGGAGTGGCATAACAAAGGGCTAAACGAGATCGAAATGGATGAAACGTTGACATCACCTAAGGATGAACTGTCGTTTTGCAATTCTAGCATTGACGTTTTAACTACTTTAGCTTCGAGTGCCAAATACCAGGCTTGCGAATCGACAGATCGTGAATGTGCAGTGAAATTCTCGGACTGGTTACCGCCGAATGAGATAACGGAGGAAGTATTTCACGCTATGCCGACATATGTGGACAACAAATGCGTTGTGTACTTGCATCCTAAGAAATATAGTACGTTGCCTTGGTTATATAGTAATCTACATAGAGTTCCTTTCTAATGTAATCTTGCATAGAATTTTGCTTTGATTTATACCTATATACCTACACACACACACACACGCACATACATATATATATATATGTGTATATATATATATATATATATATATATATTTATATATATTTAATTGCAATACAACGGTTTTTGATTCGAAAATTGTGCTTACACTCTGTCGTTTTACTTTCGTTAGATGCCGATATACTGCACTACATAGAGACTGAATTACAAATTCATTATAAGAATATTAAAATAAACAAACTTAAGCAATGGAAGGAAGGAGAATTATGTATCGCTCAATATCATGGTAACCAAAAGTGGTACAGAGGTAAAGTTATCCAAACTTCAGGAAATATAATACAGGTAAGGAATAATAATCTATTATTATTACTTTCGCAAACTATTATTTTCGCATTATCGTTTTCTTGATCGTGTGCTCTGTATCTAGGTGGAATTTGTCGATTACGGCAATGTGGAAGACTGTGAGATAGAGCACGTAACGGATCACGTTAGACTGGGACATATTCCTATCCAGTGCACAAAATGCGTCATCAGCGGGCTAAAACCGGTAACAGGATATTCTTTGGCAATACCAATTTATTGTGTAATTCCGTGTTTATTTGCAATTATTTTTCAAAATCTTTCCTCGTGTTTGTACAACAGGACTCCTCGACCGGTAAATGGATGTTGCACGATTTAGACCGCATACACAAGCTTCTCGTTGAAAAAGAATGCAAAGTGTCCATTTTACAGCGTCAACCCACGTATTTAATTGTAAGTTGCGTCCGTGTCAGTAGTAATTTAAGAGTATAAACGAGCTCTTAATTTAAAGTCTCTAATTAATTTTTATATTTCGACAACGATTATTTTATCATAACCTATTAGTAATAATGTTATGCATGCATTAACGTCATACTTGTTACCCCGCAGATATCGATACAATTATTGCAGCCATTTAAGTGCGACTTTCTCATGTATCTTGCAAATCACATGGAGAACATGAATGTTAAGATCGAACGTAAGGAGTGGAATGATTCAGACAATTCCGAGGATGAAGAGGATTATTTAAAATCCTTGGACACCACCAGAGATGTCGTCATTGAAGAGACAGTAAGCGAGTGCGAAAAGCCGTCCGTAGCTGATACTTCCAACGGATCTTCGGGAACATACACGCAGGATGTTACATTGATCCAGGATATGATCAGCGGTAATTTAGCGGAGTCTCTAAAGACAGAATTGCTTGATAAATTGAAGGATAAGATATCCGATACCGAAAGTATATCTTCAATAGACACGAATATTTTGAATAATCATCTGATCTCTTCAACGCCGCAACCACAATCGGAGGAAGAAGACGGTGTTTTTCTCTCGTACAAACGGTTGACAATTCCGCAGGAGACGAAGTATATCGAAATAAAATTATGTTGCAACAAAGATCCCATCACCTCATTCGCGCAATTGGCAGAAAATAACGACCATATGTTCTCTAAAGTGGGCATACGCGAATTTATTATTAAATATATCTGACACAAAGAGCATCAGTCTAATTTATATTCACCTTTTTAGGAGCTTCACAAGTATTATTTGCAGTACGAAATTATAATGTCAGAGTTACAAATCGATGCTCGTCATCAACCGTTACTCGAATCTTTTGCGAAGAGTGAGTAATGAAAGTATTTTTAATAAGAATAGCATGATTTAATTGATACGCGACACAATGTTTAATAAAATTATTAATAATATTCATTTTATAATTTTTCTTAGATACTCCTTGCGTTACGAAGTTTATTGATGACATGTGGTACAGATGCGTAATTACAAATAGTGAGAAAATTCCAAACAGTCGATACATGAAGATTTCACTATATTATGTCGACTATGGTAATCATGAATACAGAATATTGGACCTACTCTCCGAGTAAGATATATAATACTATCGATAATACTATCAATTTTTTCATTATTTGAATTGTGTTATGTATTTGTATAATGATACACAAAAATAAAATGTTCTAGAGACCACAATTTGTATGTACTAAAGCAAAAATGGCTGGAAGTGCCCGCCATGGCTATCAAATGCACATTTTGGGGTCTAAACTTTGTCTCTGACGACATTGATTTGTTAGCGTCAAAATTAGATGAAATCTATAATCAAGCAGTTGTGGCTCAAATCAAGGTAAGCTTGTTTAAAATTCATTTACTTAGTCAGATAAAAACACATTAATTATCCAATCAAATTAGAATCAAAAGCCATACGATCCAACCTTAGATCTTTGACAGCCTTATATTAGTTTCTGTATATATATATATATATATATATATATATATATATATATATATATTTTTTTTTTTTAATTTATTTAATTATTATTAACATTAATTATTATCGTAGGAGATCAACGATGGAAATAATCTGGTGGTCCAAATATACAAGGATAAAACGTGCAGAGAACTTTTTTATGCTCACTTAATAGAAGAAGGTTTATACCAGTTTAAGAAACCCAAGGAAGATTGAGGAGTTTCACTTAATAGAAGGTTTATACCAGTTTAAGAAATACAAAGAAGATTCAGGAGTTTTACCTAATAGAAGAAGGTTTATACTAGTTTAAGGAATTCAAGAGGTAGCTTTAATGACTTCAAGCTTTACTTAAATCATATTTGTCTCATATGATTTATATCCATGGTTTAAGTAAATCCGAGAAGGAATATCTGTGAATATTTTATTTTTTCTATGTATAAATAAGGATTATGATTATAATACATTAGAAAATAAGAGAAGTTCTTATAAAATCTTTTTTTTTTTTTTTTTAATGCGATCGTACATTATATTTTGATATTGCATTAGATTTAGTGACGTTTAGAGATTTTATATTAGTGTCTCTTATAACTAACGTTGTGTACTCTTCGCAATCTGTTCCTTCAGCACCAAGATACTTTGCCTTTGCTCAGGTGGAAGCATTGCAATTTGTTCATCTGATAACTGCAATACTTGCATTATCAAGGCCGCCTGTGAAAAAAAAAATCTGTTTAGAACATAGCTGAGATACATTTTTTTACACTGACTAAGCTGTTGTTCGCGACTGCATTTTGGTTCATCGTGCTGATATATCCAATAAAATTAATTAGTCTTTATACGCGTATAACTAATAAGTTTTTGTTGTTATATTTTATTTCATAAGAAGAACATGAGACACGACCATGATATTATTTTGTTTCAAAATAACTTGATTTTTGCGAACCAAACTTGAAATTTCAAATAATGATGTATAAGTAATGAGAGCAAGATAAACGATCTTTGTCAATGGAGTTATTTTACTGTAACATGCCTTTTCCTGATCGGACGCGCCGCTGGGAATACTTCCCGCTGGAGACATTCCGGCCACTAGCCTTGAAGTTGCGGAACTTGTGGATTGTGAAAGTGCAGCGACAGAGGAGCCGGTTGTGTTGCTAATTACAACGCTTGATGGAACTGGCACAGTTGGTGCAGCGACCGGTCTTGGAACAATCGGCGGCGCAACAGGAGTCGCTGGAAGTTTTGAATAACTAAAGTCTATTAACGTTCGGTCCATCGAGAAGCAATTCTTGCTAAACTTGTACATATACCGAAGCCAATGGGCTCACCATAAAATGCATAAGTAATCACACGTGTAAAAAGTAAAAGAAACATACGATTAGATTTGGTAATCCTAGGATCGATCGGCATTCTGGAATCCCTAAGATCTCTCGAATCTCTGGCGAATCTGTCGGATCTTGGATCGCGGTAGAAGCTGAAAGTAATGTCGATTTATTATAAGGAAAAACCAGCGATTAAATCTATATTTAAGGAGTATATATGTATATGAGACCTCTCAATTCCTTCCACAGGAAGAATGCTGTAAAAAAGAGCTCTTTCAATTACGCAGTTTACAATTGGAGTCTATCGAACAATATGAGGTGCACTTACTTGTCCGCGATATTAAACGCATTTGCCGCCCTCGGGTCGGCGGTGACCGGTAACACTGATGATGGCGCGCTGACTGGCACAGGCTGTGTTTGGGGCGATCCTCTTAAATCCTGATCCAATCTAGCTACACGCGGGTCCAACTGCCTGTCTAGTCGAAGATCTACGTCCTGACCTGTGTTTTTACGAATTAAATTTTAAATTT